TATTAATTGCAAGACAATACAATATACACGTAAATGGTAAATCCTATTTACATTCATCGACTGACTGGGTACACGTGTGAGGGCGATTTATATATATCGTCTGCTACTACCGTACCCTATAGGCCCTACAGTACTCAATTGTACACGGTACTACAGGTTGGTCATTGATTATCGATCTAAAAATAATTCCAGCCAATAATACTATAAAGTATGAAGTATGCCAATAAGATTGTTTGCCTTCGTGATGCTGGTAATCCAATAGCTACTGTCAATTTTACCGCGTTTAGATAAAATAGTTAATGATAAAATAGTTGTATGGTTCACGGAGCGAAAATTCAACCATTTTTATAAAATTTCACCTTGGTGGAATATGAATAACAGACATAATAAAATGTTGATTATGTCGAATCAGTGAATAATTTTTTAAAAATCTTTTTGAGTTTTTTCTGCTAATTATTTGTAAACAATCGTCTTAATTGTTTCAGCTTTTGGCTCTCGGTGAAATTTTAATCCAAGAACAACACATTTTTGTGTCCCATTTTATCAAAATTTCAAATTCAGTATTTGGTTTAGAGATAGACTGTTGAATGAAACTATATAACTGACTCCGATGTATAAATAAAATAAAACCAAGTACGAACAATCCAAACCATAAGACAGAATTCGAAGTCCTAAAAAACGTGATTATATTTTGAAATTGTCTTGAATTCTTTCGTGGAACCACAGGTCACCTCTCTAACTCTAATGCTCTATTTCCTGGCATTTTACATCTAAACAGATTTATCTATTAACACAAAACTTATAAATCGGCTTCATACAGCAATGCATCTTGGTTTAAGCTTTTACATACAGCGGTTGACTGGACCGTGTGCGAAGTTGACATAATAACATCGTCTGCTACAGTACAGTATATCGTCATTAAAACAAGAAAAAATACTCTAGACATGATTTAAAATCAATAATTTGTTACGAATGCTATGTACAACTTACAACATAAGTGGCATTCAAGAATACGTATCCTATAAAAAAGCACTTAAAACCTCGTTTTCCCTAGCATTTACCATGTTACGACACGACGTGAAGAATACGACAAGCCTTCCAGAGCTAATAATAAACACCGGAAATACGTCATGCGTAAACGCTCCTATAGATAAATGTCATTTTAGATTGCGCAAAAGGAAAAGCAACAGTTAGCAGTTGTCATGCAAGATACGCCCACATTTTGCAAGAGATGGACAGAAACAGTCTGTGGCCATAATCTAGGATTTTAATACGGGATGAAGGTGGTACAAACAAATATTATAATAAAAAAGAAATTTCTTGCTAAAATTGCTGCATTCACTTAAAATACAGAGCAATATATTATCACGAACACGTGCAGCTATATAAAATGTTTTGTAAAACAACACTTTTTATGAGAAAGGTGTCACGGTTGTCCGCTTTATCCTTTATCATCAGCACTCTCCACACAAGTCTCGCTATCCAGCATTCGAGACTGCAAGGGAAGACAACTCTGTTTGGGAGATTGTATCATCAGATGCTGGAGTGGGATGGGCATTCAAAACGCGAGATAATGATATAAACATATGTGATATCACAATTAATGTTTGGATTCATCAAAAAACATCCACGCCGCTTAATCTCCCCATTTTATTTGGAGTCACAATTGTGAAAATTTCTATTTTAGGCGCTTGTTGAGTTATCTGTTCCCCGGCGTATTGGAATTAATAAACGAATAATTTATGTGATGAATTTTCTGGATATTTTTGTACGAGAAATGCTCAGTAGTCCGCGGGTTCACTAGTCCACCGATATATATTATTAGAGGTGGGTTAGGGTTAGGGTTCATTAGTCCACCGATACCTATCATTATTAGGGTTAGAGTTAGGATTAGGTTTATTGATACCCATATTTATAGTATTTCTTATAGCGGCGGAATAGTGAACCCCTCTCTTTCTGGACAGTTGCAGTCAGTTTTGTGTTTTTCTATTTTGCTTCCTTAAAGTTTCCTGCCAGAACTGATTTTATTGCATATGATAAAACTAAAACGTAGTTTATGTTTTTATGTAAAATCACAGTTTCTGTGTTTTGTTAAAGTGACATCTTGTTGCCACAGATATATGCCAAAATGACGATATTCTGAAAAATTTCCAAGGCAGAGGGGAGAGAACCCTTCCGCCCCCCCCCCCTAAAAATAAAAATGGATACGTTGTCTCAAGCCCCCTCCTGTAAAAATTCCTGGATCTGTCCTGGACTCCACTGTATCACTACCATGTGTTACAGTAGTTCCACAATGCTACAAAAATGCACTAAACCAGATTTGTAACACTATCCAGTGTTTGTCAGAAACACATCTATGGCTTCAATATGGACTTCACGACAGTCTTCAACATGACTCCACGAGTTGTGTTCTTTTAATACAAAACTCAGAAAATCCGTGCTGCTCTAAGTACGTCCTTATACAGCAGAATACATACCAATGCAATGTGTAGAACCAGCTGAATGGAACCACTGGCTGAATGGAAAAACTTTGACAAAATCCCACATCTCGGAATGAATGGTGTCTTCTCTAGGCGGAGTTCCTCGGAGCCTTGAACCCAGACCAAAATCTGAAACGATGAATGCTGTTGTTTCGCCAAAAGCCAAGATTCGGCTCTTTTAAAACCCTACGTACATGAATACGACAGTTTATTTTAATATATCTAGCATAGCAAAAAAAGAAACGGGGTCCACAAAAAGGGAACCACACAGTAACTAAAAAAATCATCTCCATGCGAAAAGTTCTAAGCCTAAAAGGGATAGATCAATCTGGTCGAAACAAACTTTTGTCACCAACAAGTACAATCATTGAATGAATCATAGACATAATAACTGCAACAGTAGTGTTATCATTGTCTTCGTACCAGACCATCTTGTGAACCCACCCATTGAAATCACCAGAAATGGACAAATTGGCTGTAGGACAGTCGTCGAGTACTTGTAACTGAAAGGACTAACCCCAACACAGATACATGCCGACATGGTCTCCACTTTAGGGGATGATGCCCCTTCCTTTCCCGCAATAAAGAAGTGGGCTGCGGGATTTAAGCGTGGCAGAGTGAACTTTAAGATGACCCGCGTCCTGGGAGGCCATCAACAACAGCCATTCAAGAAAACATTACCCGGGTGCATGACATGCTGCCAGTGGCGGCGCCAGAGGGGGGCAAGGGGGGGGCATTGCCCCCCCCCCCCATTAATCTTGTCTGCCCTCTGTTTGCCCCCCCCCCCCAATAATTTTAGAAAATAAAAAAAAGTATTTGTGATACGCTTCGGTAATCAATACCTTCTACGGTGAATAAATCCCACATCCCCACTCAGTCATAAACTTGCATGTTGTAGAGCATTTCCGACAGTTTATTTTTCAAAATTTTCTTGGCGAGGTCCCCAATGGACTCGCTACTTTGGCGTTCACAAGGAGAATTCGTTGAGGTTCGCAAGTCCGTTCGTTTGACATTTTGTTCTCTAGTCGGATAAACTAGCGATCAGGCGACGAACGGTATCTGGTCAGATCTATTTATCTCGACGATCGGTGCCTGGGAATAATGCAAGACAGCATTTCCGGCAATCTATTTTTCAAACTTTTCTGGGGGAGGACTCCCTACTTTGGACTTTGCCCCAGCTTTGCCCCTCTAATCACCGACGGCTGGCGCCGCCACTGCATGCTGCCTGTGTTGGCATCTCTCATCAGTGGGTTGACCACATCATCACCAACGAGTAAGGAATGACAAACATTTCTGCAAGATGGGTGTCAAAGCTATTGACTTCGAATCAGAAACGTGTCTGTTTAGGAACGTCCTGTGACAATCTGTGCCGTTTTGAAGCGGGTCTTGATAATTTTTGGGCCAGATTTGTATGAGATCTGTTTCTAAAAAAAAGGAACTAGCCGGTTGTCATGTCAGCTGTGAACGACTTTTTAGGGTGGCTGAAGAAAATTTCTCAATGACTAGTGGTATCCAGGCCGTGCAGACCTCGAAGGGACTGTGTAGAAAAATAAATGGTAACCATTGACTTTGTACCAGGTCTTTTACAGACAGGCTTAGAATTTTTCGGCTAGCCCTCGTATATATTATGAAGATCCCGGTGAAATGTTATTTTTGGCAGAAATAAGAAAATCAATAACAACCCACGGAGGCCCATAACAACTTTACGGTGAAACTCGGAGACAAGGAGTAAAAATTAAAAAAAAACCCAGTAATGTGTGTGCACATGTGTATCTCTGGCAGACACAAAAGCATGGTGGGCGAACAGTAGCAGCAGTATGGTATGGGGAAATATAGTGGGACCCTGCAGCTGTTGCCGGATAATGTGCCGGTCATCTCGAGGCGTTGTTACGCGTTGCCGTCCATGACCTTGGCCAATCTCTAGTGGACCCTGTGTGTTGGAAACAGTCGGCCATTCTGGGGATGGTAGTGTGATGACATCCAATCCTTCAAGCGATGTCGCTGGTACTCATGCCCTTTTGAATTTCCTCCTTCGCATCCTTCGCATGTCATCTTTGCGTCTTCCACAGAACTGTAGGCCTACGTAGTACCCGCCAACGTAGTACCCGCTGAGCCACCGTACGTGGCTCCTCAAAGTAGAATCGCAAAACAACTAATTTTTATTTAAATATGGTAGCCATTTAGAGCAGAAACCTGTAGATAGTTCTCTGTGTGCAGAATGTTTAACCCAGGTTAACTCGGGGAGATGGTCAGTTATTATCAGAAGTGTCCAAGTAAGCCCTAGGCCTATTCTGACGCCAGCCTTTTTGATGGCTTTTATGATAGTTGGCAGTTGGGGTAGTCAGAAATTATTTTATCATAATTATTGAAACCATTAATATAATGATAAAACGAATGGTTTTAAACACCTTTCACCATTCTCTGTACCGGCGTATATGTAGCTTACCCAGGGTAAATTTTGCTAACAGATCAGCAGTGTAGTTTGGGAGCGGGCAATTATAGTGGTAGGTTTAATTTCATCGGGACACCGCTCAGGGGCGACAACTCTAGGCCTCTATTTTCCGGTAGAAAAAAAAAGATCAAGAAGAAAATTTGTGACAGATTTTGGTGTTCTCAAGAATTCGGGTAAGAGGCGTTAAAGTAATTATATGATAAATGATCAGATAATATATTGCTTAGAAATTCTTATAACCACCGTGGAACCATTACCGTTTTGCTAAGGAAACTTGTGTTATCTGCTTGTGTCCAATTTCACTGCCGTGGAAGGAACACTCCGAACAGGATATAAAAATAATAGGCTAAAAATGCAAATAATTGACTGTTGAGCAGAGTCATCAACATTATGATGAAAATTTAAAAGGCGTAAAGCTGTAACTGAGTATTATCCACAGTCTTCGATATAACCACAGGAGTCTAAACTTCTATCCATATTCCATATATAATTAGTTCAACTCTGAATCATGAATGTTAAGTCTCATTACCCTCACCCCTGTGACAGTGTGAGATGGTTCCTGGTGTGTGTTTACCGTTTAGTGCATGCGCAGTTGTAGGAGTCAGCTCACACCGTTATCGACACGGTTTGCATTGACTCCCCGTGATAGGATTTCCCATAAGATTTTCTTGCGGTCAAATAGGTTTCTACACTATTATCTACCAATATTAAATTTTACAGTATTACTAATTTTTTTAATAATCAGTAGAGGGTGTCGAGTTTATCTAGTTTGTTTATTTCGATAAAAAGTAGAAATACAAATTCACCAATAAAGTGAGCCGTAGCAATTCGCGTTGATGGAAAATCTCTGGTAGCGTGACGTCGGAGCAATATTTTCTCGCGAGCGTCTGCCGTATTATAAAAGGTAAATTCGCTTACATTTCAATAATTTTTTGAGTCTGAATCTTTGCAGATATTGATATTGATATTAACCTATTACAACACAATTGCTATTAATACATTTAAATAAAATAGTAATTCAGAATCGTATATTAACGAGCTATAGTCACGTGACCTGAAACCCTTATTATGAGTAATGAAACAGATTGGCTATATTGTGAAGTTGTAAAAATTTTAATAAGACGTACAAATTAAAATAACAATGATACAGAGAAATCCCAATCATATAAAGGCCAATATCCAATGTACAAAATAGTTAATTATTAAAACATCAAAAAGTGTAACTACATGTAATCACTAAAAAAAAAAAAAACCCAAAACAACGGCAACAGATCACGGACGATAGAAATATCAATTTCAAGCCAATCAACTTATAATTAGAACCGTTGTTCATGTAACTAATGATCACAAAAACAACAGCTAATCACGATAACAAGTATGTTTATTAATGACAAAACTCTAATCAAACACGTAATACTTTTTTCTGAATTGATCAGTGGTCAGGAACTATCTCACACCGGAAGTAGATATAATTTGGTTGTTAACGATAATAATAGTTTCGGACGTGCGGAAGTGCCCAGGAGCAAACACACACTGGGAGTCAATTTAAACTGTCACACCGGCCTGTACGTTCAGGAACCATCCTATTGAATCCTTGTCGAAAAAGAATCGGCTCCCTGTAAATTTTACTGGGCAACTTTTTACTGCTAAACGATCGTTTGTCAGTCTCTGTGAATGCCTGAACAATGTAAAGGAACATTTTAGTGAGAATATAAGAGCTTGCTTACCTCACTAGTCACTATAGAGTCAGTATGTGCAACACAACATACTGTTAAACATATGTCCCCTTCTGCCAAAAGGCTTGGCAGAAGCCATTGAAATCTAAATATAGGGTAACACACAAATTTCTGTATCTATTCGAAATAATGTAATTTTAGATAATTCTATTTTTGAAAGCTTAAATTGAAAGGGGGCTTTAAAGATATAAAATACAAACTTAAATGATTCAACACTTCTTATGGTTTCATTTTTTGAATTTTATCCCGTTCTCAAAAATTATAATTTCTCAAAGTGTATTAAAAGATAATGGGTTTAAGTTTTGTAATTCGCATAGTAAAAGATTTGTCATTGTTTTTGTGCTGCATGTGTGTTCAAAAGAATATGACCTCATCCAAGTCTCTAATCAAATAAATAAAGTAGCTAAGTCTCTAACTCAATATCATCAAAAATCTTCGACATTGAAAACACGAATTATTTGTCAATTCAAATCAACATTGGTCTTGTGATCTTACAGGGAAAAGATGGGCTTCTGATATCCAATATTCAAGACAAAATAAACATTTTACCATTGGTACACGAATCGTGTACCAAAATGCGTTTCAGCGCCATTTGGAACAAGGGGCTCAAAGAACCCGGCTAGAAATATTCCACAAGTCATGTCAAATGGTGACGCTATATTCTTATCTGGAGAGCATGCGCAATAAATATCATCGGTGTAGACTGGAATAACCAGACATTAAAGATTGCCATTCAGTTGAGACTTCTGGCGTATTTCGCCGAACATACATGTAACTGATTAGAAATTACAGTAAAAATAGAAACGGTTGAATGTAAATCAGTTTATATATACATGTATTCACATTACATTATTATATGCGTTGTGACCCATTTGTGACAATTTCTAGGTCCCAAATATTAGCGATTTAGCTCCTTTAAAACAAAATATTTAAAAGGCAGCCTAAAACTATAAACTTTGCTGAGATTTTACTAGAATGAAAAAAACGGTAACAAAGTAAAGGAATACAGGCAGTTACAAATGTACGTGTGTGAACGCTCAAACTCAAACTTGAATTGTAAAAATACTGAAATCCATTTCGATATGGTATGCTGTTACCCCTTTATACGAAATGATATCTCCCAAAGAGTGACGTAATCATCTTCTAATTTGGTATTGCTCGCAGTTAAAAGTTTGTGGGATTTCAGTTTTTCAAGAGTATCTTTTGTAAGTAAATCACAAATAGGCAGTTCATTTTCATGTCTTTAGAATTATATCATATTTCAAACTTTTACAATGGTTTTCATGTAGAATGTTAATGACATATATAAAACCTTATCTTACAAAGTCTTATCACAGATTTTGGAGTAGTTGCTATCTACATTTTATTAATGCCACAAAATCAGTTTGAATTTCATTTCGCATTATTAAGAAAAAGTCGACACAATTAGCATATTAATTTATTTTCTCATGTGCCTTAAATTGTTGACAAAACCAGCTGTATCTCAACACCAGCTCCATCTCCGGATCTAAAATTTTAAACATACATGTACACAGATAACAACTTCACAGGGTAAATCAACATTAACCCTTTAGCACATGGTACCAGTAAATATTGACTACCCTGGCTCCTTGAAGAAAAGTAGAGAAAATTGACAGTCTGAAAACATGTTATTGTTATGTGAATAGTTCTTCAAATGTAAGACCATACATGTGACGTTGGTGGTTGGAGCTGTCCAAGGTGTAATATTTTTGGATAGTCTTAAGTGCTAAAGGGTTAAAATTAATCAAGTGATATTTTTAAAACAAATCAAAGGGGTACCGGTATATTGAAGCATATTTATTTCAAGTATTCTTTTGTTAATCATAATCCTCCATAGTCTTTGATGAAGACATTACACTGTACATGTACCTATTGGCAGTATTTGTCATGTATTGTTATCTTATCCTATATTTTTATAAGTTACCTTAAATAGTTCTTATTTGACTTCTAAGGCTGAGTAATGTGAAAATAGGTTTGTTTCATTTAAGAATTGACACACATACATTGTACATTCTAACTGCATTAATTGAAGTTGAAATAAACCCTCTATCAAAATTTGGTACATTAACCCAAAACAATAATTATACATGTATTCGCCAATTCTAATAATGTGATTATGAATATGATATCAGCACCAGAAATTTATTGTCTGAATACGAGCCATTTCACATTGAAGTTTAGATTATTTTTTTTTTTAGTTTATGGGGGCAAATTTGGATGCACATTCACTGTTAACCGCTTTGACTTTGCAAATTTTTTGGATTAGGAAACATTGCCCTAATACATGTATATTTTCACCAAGAAATGGTTTCCATATTGTTTTAATTTGTTTAATGGTTTATACTACAAAGGTAAATGTCAGTTTTTAATTTATTGTGATTTATTTTACAGGTTACTTAGTAGAACTATTATCGTAAAAGATGGCGTCTTCAAAAAGTCCTATGATGGAGGAGGTGAATCTAAATAAAAGTTCAATTGTGGACGATTTTATGTATGGTTCCAATGTTGCTGGAGCTCATATCTATATCCGCATGGGTAAGTGAAATAAATTATCCCAGAACAGCATTAAAATATGCCCACTTAACTTACCTTTATAATGACAAAATGAATTTTTCTGACTTTGCATTGTCCAGAATTTATTTGAAAATTGATTTACTAACAAACAGCCTTAAATGAAATGAAATGAGGTTTAACATCCTACTGTTCTGCTCTGACTGGGCTAATGAAGACGAAACAGCCGTAATAAGATTATATTTACTTTGATAGTCTTAAAAGCAAATTTGTCATCATTTTAATCATACTAAACAGTTTAAATATTCTAATACACATGTAGTTTAAAGATGCCTTCCCTTGTACAAACTGGGTGATTTGATGATATTTGGACTAAAAACATATTCAAACGAATTAATCTATCAAAAATTTGCTTCAAACCCCACTCAAAACATTGTATTTGCAAGGTAATATGCTTAGCAATAAAAAAAATCTATTTTTAGAAGCCATGTTTGTCCCATAACTCGATTGAGTGGGGGGGGGGGATTTTCAGAATATATTTGTCGTTTCTTACTGTTCATTTACCATACATATTGAAGCCTAAGTAAATTCTTGAATTATCTTCTGCCAACTTCTTTTTCAGCTGTTTAACGATGAAATAGATAGTCGAGACTAAGTCTTGCTTTTCCAGTACCGTTGCTACGATATTAAACGATCTAAGCAACATCTTCCGACACCCATAACTTCGCACAGAATAAATTAATTCAAATGAAATTTTCAATATATTAATTTTGAATTATTTGTTTTGGAACTATTATAGCAAGAACAGTGAACTCTTTATCTAAATCTTACATACAGTAATGCATTATCAAATAGTATGTTTTAAATCCATGCAAAGACTGGATATCATTTAAAATAAATATTGAATGTGAAACTTACCAGTAAATGTTGCTACATGTATCATGATAAGGATAGTTACATGTACATTTGTATTTAGAAAAGCTTACTAATTTATTCTTTTTTATAGGATTCCTGAGGAAAGTCTATGGAATTTTATCAACTCAGTTACTACTTACAGCAATTGTTGCTGCTGTTTTTATGATGAATGATTCACTGAAAGAATTTGTCCATAAAAGGTATAATTTCAAATTTTAACATTAATCTAATTATGTTGCTCCATATGAATTGCATGGTTCACCAATGATTTACTTATGACAGATTAAACTTGTACAGAGGTCATATGAAGTGATGTTTAAATTTTTATTCTAATAAATTAGAAATCATATGAGAACTTTAAATTATGGAAATGATAATCAGTGGTATTTTGAAATAATTTGACCCACAGAGAAATTGTAAATTCAGTGTGTATTTTATGGAGATTTTTTATCTATCATAGATATTATAGAATAATTACTGTATAATTAATTTTATTCTAAATTCAAATTATTAGATTGTCCTTCGTTGGTTTCTTCTTTTTGTTAGCCCATGGATGATGCTAGTTGCCTTCATTGGTACACTTGGCGTCCTATTTGCGCTAATGTGGAAAAGACAAGAAACCCCTACAAATTATATACTTCTTGCTGTTTTTGTAAGTAAAAATATTTCTTAATTAAAAAATATGTACATGTATTGTATGTTTTCTCAAAGTGATGAATTTAGCAACTGAACTTGTTAGTTGAAATTGCTAGTCTGTCGTTACTTTGGACAGTTTATAGATACATGATTCCTTCTTTGAGAATACCAGTCTTCAAGACCCCATAACCCTCTTTGTTTAACATTCTGATTACATGTAGTGCTATTCATCTTGATACTATGCTTATAGTTTGTTTGAAATTAAAACTGAATCTAGTTTTATTGTATTTGTAGACTGTATTTGAAGCCTATACTGTTGGTGTTGTAGGTAAGATTATGTTATTACTTCATTACATCTATCAACACCTTTTAGATCAGTCCTAGTCATATAATTTCATTTCATTGATTACAAGTTTGTTATTTCTGTGTGATATAGGTGTATGTCAAGACATGATGATGTTACTGTTAATTTTATCTTAGTAACAATGTTGTTGTCATGTAATGACAATGTTGATATTTTTCAATAACAATGTGTACTATCATTCTGTTATTGTTATGTATTGTGTGTCTAATAATAATGTTTATATTTTTCAGTAACAATGTATACTGTATCATCTGTTATTGAGGCAGCTGTGTTAACATTGGGTGTTACTGTAGCCTTAACTCTGTATACATTACAAAGTAAAAGAGATTTCAGTTCATGGGGTGCAGGGTAGGTTGATATTAATTTTTAAATGGGAGACAACTTCAGCTTTAGGTTTGAGTATAATGATGAATTTATTATGAAATAAAAAAATGTATTTTGAAATGAAATGGGGTATAACATAATGCTGTTCTACACCAACCGGGCTAAGATATTTTTTAGCTTCTTGCAATTATTTGTTTTCATTGCTTTAACATAACATATGAATTATTTTCTATCTTTCAGACTTTTTGCTTTCCTGTGGATCTTGATTTTAGCAGGTTTCTTACAGGTAAGATATTTATTTTAACCACTATGAGAATTTCAAATTTTATGGCATCTGTGGTTTTTGAGTGACAAAAACAATTGATATGAGAATTAGGTTTTCGTTTGTTAGATTTACTAAGAAAGTATGTCCAATTGTTTTGTGAAAAAGCAAGGCGTAATAGAACACTTAACAGAAGTTTTAACAAAAAGGTCACTGTCTGTTAGGGCAAAAATCTCCCAGTAAAATATGTTAAAATGTTAGTCTGAAAATGTCACAATGGAGAAAAGCTCAAGGTCCACTAGTTATGATCATGGCTAAATGAACCAAGCTTCATTCAGTTTAACTTGTGTATACATGTATAACTATCCAAAATAATATGTAAAATTTTGAAGTACATTGCTCATCAAAAACACACTAGTGCCATCTGCTAAAAAAGTAGTATATTCAGTTACATTTGAGGTGTTCAAATTTGATTTATGAAAAGTTGAGACAAATGTAAGCTATTCCTGTGGTATAAACGTTTTAACTTTCCAGTACATGGATTTCAATAATTAAGTGGGAATAAAGTTCTTTTACATATTGTTTAAAAGTCTTATGATTATTTCCTTGGTAACATAACACTTCTCTAAGTGAATACAGAGAGAGAGAGGTGGGGTTTAATGTCCACTTGACACAAACTAGGTCATTTCAGGACTAACACATGGTTCAATTTTATTTCAATAATTCGCTTGCGTGTAGTGGTCTTTAGCAGTGGGAGGAACCCGGAGGACCTGGAGAAAACCCACGAGGTTGAACAGGCGACCCTACTCCTTGTCACATACAACCAGCTAATCGAAACCATGCCAGTTGACTCAATGACAGGCCTTATGATACAGCGCGCACATGCTAACCATTCGGCCATCCTACCCCCCTGTAAGTGAATACAGATAAAATGTTGTATATTGATAAAAAATTTTCCTTATTTTATTTTTATTTATTTTTCAGATTATTTTCCCCAGTGTTATTATGGATAAAATGATTGCTATAGGGGGAGCCACTCTCTTCTCTATGTTTATTATATTTGATACTCATATGATGATGCACAAGTTATCACCTGAAGAATATATCCTGGCTTCTGTTAATCTCTATCTCGATATACTTAATCTCTTTTTTCATATTCTTCGTCTTGTTGGACAGAGAAATAATTAATTGGGATAAATAATGGATGAAAAAGAGGGTGTTCAGTGTGAGAATTTAATCATTTGTCTTATCTTGGTTTAACCATGGTCATCATCTTGTCACTACTATTTGTGGTTTGGTATAGCTGTATATATTATTGTTGGATCTCTTTTATACCCCCATGTTTTAATGTGGTCGTATATTGCAGTCACCCCTATTCATGCTTCTTCTTGTTAAGCTTAACATCCGCCTCCACCTTGTGTGATATGACAGATAATCAATATTCTTGTAAGCACACTAGAGGCTACAATAATACATATAACTTTTTCAAATTGATAAAGTTTTTCTTTTTCATTAAGATGATAAAGCCTATTGATTTTCTACGATTTTTGATAACTTAGAGTTATTTCCCTTCAATTATGATCCTGTCTTTCTTAAATTTATATTGGTTGTCTTTCTTATTGAAAGGAAAACTTTAATAGCACTGTAGAGGCTTTAATATATGATAAAGTCTTTCTGAAATTTGTATGGGTTGTAACTGCTACAAGGACTTAGCTGCTGATGGGCATATGCTTTTACACATTTTACTGGAGGAAAAGCAGACAGATACATGTAGCCATATAAAGAACCACGAATAGTTTAGATAAGTAAGGTTGTGGTTATGCCAAGATGTCTAGAATGGAAATATCAAAATATGCAGTAAAACTTAATCTATGTTTTTTCTGCTTAAAATTTAAATTGAATTTTACTGTGATAGTATTTGATTGATTTTACGTGTTCAACAAAATAAACGTAAAACCGTGCATCTCAAGTTTACAAATCTTATTCCATAAATTTGGTTATTGCAGCTTATCATGTATATTTTTTATGGCCAAAATAGATATTTAGATAATACAGAACCACTTTGTTTTATATACAAAAACCGAAATTATGGGTTTTTCTAGATGTAATAACCTAGAAAATTGATGCCTTCAGATTCTGTCAATTTTCAATTGTAGCCAAACATGTTTTCTTTTCATATTCAAAGTATAGAACAATGATTCTATAATTAATAACCTGTCTTCATTAGCCCAGTTGGTGCAGAAAAGTAAAAATTCCATTTCTTTACATATATAATTAATTATTGGGGGGGGGGGGGCATTTTCCAAGCCAGATTCTCATTTGTCTCATTATGTGACATGTTCTGATGGGACAAAGAATGAAGTCTGCCAATGAACACGTATATGTAAAAGCATCGTTGGCAATTGAAATTCAATTAACAGTTAACGCATACATAGCTATCTATGCAAACCCCCCCCCCCCTTCTGCAGTTCACTCATAACTATAGAAATAAAAATGACCATTTTAATCTGACTGTCAAAATAATCTGAGTATTGTGTTAACACCTCCATTCCATGTAATTGGGTGCATGCAGTGTTTACATAAACCTCCAATTTTTTTTTCATGAATAACTTACTTTAATGGCTGTGATTTTTACTATATGGAATAAGTGACCTATACACAAATCAAATCTATTTTGAATGTTTATTTTTCGGGGTACTGGTTCTGTGGGTAACATCCTAGTGTTGTTTGTCTATATGTGATTCCTGTATTTTGGGGAATAGGTTGTTTATTTGATTAAGCATAATGTATGTAATATATGTTTATATTGTTTTATTTGTTGGTATATTTTTATTGTATGGATTTAAAGGGATATTGTAATATAAGAATACCTATTGATTTATTAACCCTTTATCAATGGGATTGACTGAAACCACATGAAACTGCCTGAGTCATTGAATAGCTATGAACTGGCTGCTTGAGACCCTAGATGAAGCAGTAGTGTCAGGCTGTTTCAAAAATGAGCTACAAAAATGAATGTAAAAATAGATCACCTTTCTGAAAAAATTCAGAGAGAGTCAATATTTGCATGTACCAGGAGTTAATTAACTGGACAGTTTCGTTGTTAATAAATAAAGTAAAATAGAGAACATTGATTGCAGAATTATATCCTGTTAATTTGGTTATTAGGGAATCATTTATATATCTATTATTATGTTTTATCACATCTGTTCTCAGATATTTAGTATGTTCAATAACTTCAATGACTGAAATAACTATATTATCTCAAGTTTCTTCAAAGAGAAATTAATATAAAACCATAAACTGTGGGTTATAATTTCATTATGTTTCGATTGAGTAATTCCTTGATTGTGTAAAATTTAAATAATATTGTAATTTAAATTTAATTAAAACTTTTGACCGTAATTAAGTGAGTAACAAATTTTCTTTATAAATCTAAATACTGTAGATCTCATCTATAACATTTAGAAATTTCTACATTACTTTATTTCTAAATTTTGTAAATATTTTCTCAACTTGAAAAGATATAATAATATATGTACTAGAATTAATAAGCAGGTCTTTACCAGTATTTTTAAGAGGGATTAAAGATGCATATGTAAGATTTAGATGAAGAGCTGGCTGTTCTTGCTATAATAGTTCAAAAAACGATAATGAAAAATGAATATACATGTACATGTATTGAAAATTTCATTCAAATTACTTTATTCTGAGCAATGTAATGAGTGTTGGAGCATGTAGCATAGATTGTTTATTATCATAGCAAATGTACTGGACAAATGAGACTATGTCTCAATTATCCATTGTATTGTAGTCTTTAAAATCTTTAGAGCGTTGGTTTAATAAATAATAGTATACATTTGAAGCCAAAATAAAGATCTGCAATAGGCAGATTTAGCTCTTACATAATGCATCTTTAACTTTTTGTCACTTTGTTTTCTTAATAAATTCGCCAATGAAATAGTTTCTGCTATATATTGAATTTTGAATGCATTGTAATTAATTCTTTTTGTTGATTAAAATCTATGATCATGTTATATTTGTATGATTTATATTGATAAATTATCTTGGTTAGCAGACTGTGGCTTTTGTTATATTAGTCATTCAGGTACTGAATGGTAAAAGAAGATCCCCATTCACATATTCTGAAACAATTTTAGAGACAAATTTACAACAAATGAGTTTGGATGAAAGGAGTACAGATTTGCAGCTAATTAATATACTATTCAAAAAAAGTAGGGGATATTTGATTTTTAAGTGTTATTAAAGTCACCTAATGAAACTGACGAAGAAACAAATGACAAAATGAAATGAAGTTCACATTCATCGATTTATTCCAAATGATCGTTAGACTTAGTAAGGCACAGACTGACCATTATAAGGGTAAAATGATACCCGGGGTCAAACAGCAAAGTTACCACAGCATCACAACCAAGTCAGTAACGGGTAAATCCTCCTCTGTTTGCCAAACAAGCATTGATCCGACGTGGCATACTCCTAATGAGACGTCTAAGGTCATTTTGGTCCAGATTGTCCCATTCCTGTTGCAACGCAGCAGCAAGTTCTTGGACATTGGCAGGACGTTGTTGACGTTGACGTAACCTCTGTCCAAGCATGTCCCAGACATGCTCGATGGGGGAGAGGTCGGGACTCAGTGCTGGCCAAGGTAATGTGGTGATGTTCTGTTGTTGGAGGTAACCTGTAACGATCCTGGCCCTGTGACAGCTTGCGTTGTCATCCTGGAAGATGAAACGGCGGCCATGACGTCGTGCGAACGGCACAACATGGACTGCCAAGATGTTGTCCCGGTAATACTGGCCTGTAACACGCCCTGCAACAACATGTAAAGCCGTTCTTCCAGCAACAGTGATGCCTCCCCACACCATAACAGAACCACCCCCAAATCGATCATGTCTGATGACGTTAACGTCTTGGAAGCGCTCGTTTCGACGACGCCACACCCTACTACGTCTGTCCAAAAAATCAACAGTGAACCTTGACTCATCTGAAAACATCACATTGCTCCAGCGTCGATTATCCCAGTGTTGACGATCCCTACACCAACGACGTCTTGCCTGAATGTGATGATCTCTCAAACAAGGGATCACGCGAGGACGTCGGGCGCGAAGGTGACCCCTATGCAGTCGATTCCGAATCGTCTGGCCACTCACTCTCACACCAGTGTCTGTTTGAAGACGAGCGCTGATCTGATTTGCTGTGATGACACGATTTCTCAAGGCCAAGGTACGGATAAATCGATCCTGGGCTTGAGTTGTCGCCCTTGGTCGACCTGAGCGTGGTCTGTCCTGTACAGATTGTGTATCACGGTATCTGGACCATAGCCTGCTTATGACAGACTGAGAAACATTCATCGTCCGCGCCACAACCGCCTGTGTTGTGCCGATCTGTAGCATGCCAAGGGCACGTAACCTTTCATTTTGGGTAAGCCGACGCATATCAAAATTTGTTTTCTGGTCACTAAAACAATTAAACTGATGTTTCCACCCTGGAATTCAATGCCACAATGACTGTAACATTCAAAGTCAGAGTCGTGCAAATCTTGGGTTGGACCCCCATGATGATCCCAAGCATCACCTGCATTCCATGCGGTAGCTATTGATGCGTTTGGGCGTCACATGTAACTGGAAATGTTTCTTCTGTTAGGTTCTATAGTGACTTTTTTCGTAGTCATTTGCATATTTTAGTATTATGCCCCCAAAATCAAATATCCCCTACTTTTTTTGAATAGTATATTATATCTTTATTTCATTTTGGAGCCAAAGTGGCTCAGCGAGTAAGATATTGGTTCGCTAACCTGGAGGTCCCATGTTCGATGCCTGCATTGGCCGAGAAAGTTCGTTATCAGCTGATTACTGGTACATGTTTGTTTTATAATGACCGTTAGCAAAAGTTAGAACTAGAAGCCAATCCAATTTTAATGATTTCTGATAATTACTTCATGGGTTGTTACTATTAATCAGTTTTAGCGTCTCAAAATGCCCCAATTACCTACTAAGGAAGGACTTGGCTGTTGTAAGCGTATGTTTTATTGAATGGCAACCTATCGTTATGGTTTTGGTTTTCAGTACTACATAAGGTCTAACATGTATCCAGGGTGACTGCACCAGAATTCGTTGAGTTTATAATTATCTTTGGGTAATTGGAAGAGATGCATTTTCATTGGTTGTTTACGGTACACAAGCAAGAGCAAGACATAGTGATAAATTTTGTAGTCAGATGTTAAGTAAAATTGATTCTGGTAAAATATAAAATACAAAATATAAACAAAATGGAAAATTTTCTGAATAATCAGATTGATAAATATGCTAATAACAGAATTATCAAAAATGAATACAAAGTGTTTTCTCGGGAAGATTGGGTGTGGCAACAGTCGGGTGTGGTGAAGTCGTTTACAGGTGGTTTTTGGTTTCACCAGAAAACTCAGATCTTTCAGCACGAATAACAAGGCACACCTCCAAGCGTGTCTTTTGACATATTTGTTCTCATTCGCCCGCCTCTCTCTGGATATAGTCGAATTGGTACATCGTATCCATAAAATAAATAATCCCAATCTGATTCATAAATCTATACTAAGCATGTTACAAATTATATTTCTTGTAATTTTGGTGATCCCTGTTATCCCTTTGCATTGTTCTTGCAGGAATTGGTCATCTTGAAGCGACAATTTCTCAAAGAAGTTGGCTCAGTTCTTTGAAAAATCATAATTTCGTTTTCCTGCTTATCATATTCGAATTAATTGAAAATTGAACTTCCGTCTCGCAAGAGTCAAGGATATCTTAGCCAATTATTAATATAGGAAATCAACTGGATAAATTGTGATCTTGGACTAGGAACGGGGTTTTGTAGTGATACTCTATATTTGTGATGATGTATTCATAGTTTGAAATGTTGCGAAATACTCTCAAGAATAAAATATTATAAGAGGGAAGATGGTATAGCCGATAGAAACCTTAAACTAACCGAGTCAAACGAAAACGACAGTCATGTAGTCAAGAGATTACACAGTTAATCTAGACTAAAGACGAAAAGTCCATTATTGAAAACCCATTTTAAACTTGCATAATTAGTTAGTACTGTTTGAACTATTGTTCTGTAACGAAACGACGTTTCCTTATGAAATGAAATGAAATGAAATGAAATGGGGTTTAACGTCCTACTGTTCTGCTCCTAACCTGGGCTAATGAAGACGGGCATACGCCATACAGTGTGCTATGAGGGAAATTTTGCCCGGACAGCGGCACTACGGCCTACTCTTATATCGAATTCCAACTGCCAAGGGATCTTTTACGTGCACGCCAATTTGTACACGGGACCTCGGTTTTTCGTCCCATCCGAACGACTAGACAGCTTTCCTTGTCAGCCCCTCCGTCCTGCATCACTGACAAGGGAGAACCACGCCGGAAAATCTGGATGAACTTTCTCGGCCAATGCAGGGATCGAACACCCAACCTCCAGGCTAGCGAGCTAGCGTCTTACCCACTTAGCCACGTGATCCCCGTTTCCTTATGATCCAATCGGGATATACTATACCTCGTAGATTAACGGGGATTCAAACGTTTTAGTAGGGGGGGGGGGGGTAACGTGTAACCAAATCTGAGCTTGATAATTAAAGGTCGTTTGTGATTCTGCCATTTTTAATTACAATCACATTGTCTTGTGGGGTATGTTTTTCTTTGTTCATTACAAATGGCGATCGAAACTACAAAGTGCACGAGGTCATTTATTGATTTTAAAATGTTTAATATGTCTTAAATGTTCTATATTTGGATCCAATATTTTCACAGTAAGATAAGAACCTCGAAATTGATTGAAATGGACTAATATTGAATTCCAATTCGTGTTTTTGATTTAGAATATTATAAATAATACTGAGTTAGAGGTTCATAAAATACAGATGTTACTCCAAGATCATTTCCGCGTTGTTATTGTCATCAAATTATACCCAGCCAAGCAGAATGGATTTACTGCCAATTTCAGGCGTCGCCGCGCCGCGCCCCACCCAAGATCTTAATCCATTACTGATTCCATGTGATGAATGGTCAATTCCAATGTACCAGAGCATGTGCACGTTTCTGCATTGAATGGTACATAATTATGTCAATAATAGTTCATTAATATCTATTAATTAAATGTCAAACAATGTCATCTTTAAGGTGAATTAGTATAATATTGTATTGTATGTATATTTCTGATGGATGAAGAACATTTCTTTAAATAATATCTATGTATCAGTACATGTAGAACGCATTATATTCAATGTCATGTTCATTGTATATATATGAGCTGATCGCATGTCTCGACCTAATGTTCTACACCCCAACAATACGTTGTTAGACATTACCTTTATACAGTGGAAACTGTATTAGATTAATTAGTTGAGGGTAGCCTAATGATCAGCCATCGATTTCTCCAATGGTTACCATAAAATATATATGGATTAAGCGGCTTTTTGAAATAATAAGAGAATTAACCTGTCTAGTTTGTAAATAAGTATATTTACGTGGCATGTATAATCCTTTGTATAATACTTACATTGTCATCGAGTGCTTGAATGGGCCCTTAATATAATATAGGCTTTCTTACAAGAGCTTATAACAGCCAATGGATTTACGAATTACACACTTTATTGAATATGTTGATTAATATTTTAGTCTGTGTGTATGGGCCCTACTATTTTTTGGACACGGAAAATCATTTGTAGACTTCTGTTAGATCTCAAGTGACCATTGTAGGTGTTTTCTGAAGAAGGATTTGTACCACACCGTGGTCGACTAGATTTCTAGAGTGTCATTATTCAGAAAAAATCCGCCTTATAAAGGAATCAGAAAAGGTTTGGAATGAATAGTTCCGTATTTTCTTTTAAATAACCAACAGGTCAGTATAACTTTTGTGCTTTTTATTCAAATTCGGGCCACTTTTCTATTTTATCTAAATTCACAAGTGTTTCTTGGAGAGGAAGTTTATATACCATCGGTGTATGTCACATAATTTGTGATAAGGGTTTGAAATATAAAAATTTATCAGGATTTCGTTAATCTCACATAGACAGATCGGGAAGTCTTATCTATATTTATTTTTCTACCCCAAATTATAAAATAAAATCAGAAATCAAATAAAAAACCTAGCAGTTACTCTGATTTCTAAATAGACTTGTTTCTTTAAAACAAAAAATTTAAAAAATGGATATATATGGATGTATTAAGTACCCATCACTGATATTCATACTATTAATATATTATTTCTGTAATTCTAAATACATTAAAGAGCAACGACGTGATATGATATCAACTAAGCCCTTATAATGATTATTACATTCATAGATCGAAAAAGATATAAGTATCCAGTCGTCACGTTGAAATAGGAAGACGCTGCATCATGTTTTAAGCAGTTTAATGTTAATATAGAAAATCATATCCCAAGGTCAGAACGTGTATCACGTGCACGTGTTTATATCAGAAGATGGTTGACTGGAATACTGTACGCAAAGAAGATTTCTTAGGAGTATTTTGGCATTTTTTAGTAATAATAATTCACGAATCTTACTTGTGGGGGAACTGTAACCAAATGATGTTTACTTTTTTACGCGAGTCCTCTAGTCTTCCCAAAGCTTTTCAGACGGTTATATTCAGAAGCCACTTCTCTCAAATGTTCACGGGTTACCATTTTAAAGGTGGAGGTTGAAACAGAGTGTAGCCAAATAGACTTGAGAGCCCCGCGTTCCTTTAAATGTGTTAAAACACTATTTCACTAATTATAAATTAGTTATATAAGTCAAGGTAACACAAAAACAGCTTAGTGTACTTTTGGTCAAAACGGAATTATAAATTTGAAATACCGTCTGCATGCAATTTAATCATTAAGCAATGCCTGTTAATATGCTAGTATTGTTCTATTTAACTTGTCTTTATAATGTTTAAATAAGATAATACGTTAATAAGATTTAATATATTAAATAAATTCGTTTTATGTACAAGATGTTATTGAAAAAAGTTATATCGAATGTCCCTTTAAGCAAGCTGGTTCTCAAATATCCCCCAATACATATTATAATCTATATAATATATTACAACTGAATATAATATACATAACAAAAAAACTTTGTATAATGTATGGAATGGATATAGGAAAACTGAACTGATATTAGAATTATTATTAATTTAAATAACTAAAACGAAATGAAATGCGGTTTTCTGCACCAACGTAAAGAATGTTTTGACCCATTCCTTTGGCATAAAGCCACTTTAATAATAACGAAGTTAATCAGGGAATACGATCTAAATAGGTTACCTTAACACGGGTACTTGATATTATAAAATTACGTGATCTATTGTATTATTAATGCTGGGAACCTAATACCTACATATTCCCAGGTACACACAGTATTTAACCCATTATTTTACATTACCATCATTTTATAAATGTATTTTACGCGTGTCTTAAAGTGTAAATTGACCGTATTATAACATTTTGTTGCGGTAAATAAATTAATTAAATTAGAATTATATATTATACTATAAAAAAAGATAATCATTATTATTCAGCATTAAAGTTTCTGAACATTATTTGAGGGATAGATGAATCCCTTGTAAAATGTTTATCAAAGTTGTAAAAATAAAATCAGTCAAAACAATGTCCCAACTGTGATGGGTATTTACAATGATATAAAGTGAATTTAAAATATTTGTTAACATTCGGCAACCCTATTCAGAATACATAAACGGGATATGGTCAATAGCAGGAGACTTTAAAATAAGATTGTTTAGAATATAAATATATACTACAGGATTTGTCCAGCACTGACATTATCGATATTAAAACACCACAGCGTGCAGGGGTTGGGATAAGCCGTTAGGCGTATCTTGTGGACAGCTGATGAAATTGTTTCGAACAGAAGGAGCAATTTACAGCGTGACAGCAGAGACCATAATTTATAATATTATAATAGATAATACAATAGAAAAATACAAATATTTTTTTTAAAATGTTAATAATTAAATCTTTTCTATTGTTTTCAGTGTGAGACAACAAAAATCAATATTCCAAATTGAAGAAGCCGTTTTATCTTCTGCAATCGTATCATGAATATGTTGCATGCCGGAAAACATCTGTGAAATAAGGATAGAATGTCAAATTCTGAAAGAGATATATACCAAATAAAAGTCAAAAATGTCTAATTTATCGGCGTTTAAGAAAAGGTGGATTGAGAAATGGTGTTTGGCGGTGAACCCTTTTCTCCTAGATGGCAGCATGTGCACAATGACCGGAGTTTATCACGAGGAAGATCCACATCTTCTAGCTAAAAATGGCGCGACTTGCTGTGTCATGGGGCAGACTTCTAGGAATTTCGACGTGTTTGAGACTGGTAAACTGGCGGTAAATGGTGAAAGATTAGTGGACACTAAACTCGATTTGCTTCCATCCGTTAAACTTTCGTATAGCCATTTATCAAGAAGAAAGTTTGATCGTCTTATGAATGGGCTACCCGTTATATATAGTGGCGGTGGTGATACCCCGGATGAAAAACTTAGTCCCGTGATGTTAACTCAGCAGCCCCAGACTGACAATAGATCTCTGTATAGAAGACAAACGACGGATTCTCCAAATTTGAAGAGTTGTGAAATAAGTGTTATACATTCATCGTCGCCTGCTAGTAAACACAGAAACGCTTTCGCCCCAAACCGAACTGTATCACGGGCAAGACAAAAACTTTTACAGAAGTCAACGCCATCTTATAAGTCCCGGCAACTTGAAAACTATATCCCCATTCAAAACTGTTGGACACGGTGAAAACAATTATAGAACAGACTATATTTCATTTCGTTAAAACATCAAAACCAGTTATGATCTTCTGGTTTATTCTACCGACGTGAATTATTAGGGTATGCGTTCCAAATTTCTTTGGGGCATTGTTACCTCTATAAACTTTGATCATTGTAACATAACAGCCACAAGTTATGATTATATCGAGCAGGAAATACTGACTCTCTCCGGGACATCTAATACCACCCAGATGTTGTCCGGTAACAAAATAACGTAGATGACCGTTTTGTATCCATCTTGAAATTCATCCGTTTCTCTCCAATGTCGTACAAGAGTCGACCTTTAACCGTGTCATTGTATTGCAAATGTTGATCTATTCGTTACCTTGTGTGCTGTTTTGAAGTTGGAATATGTTGTCTATTAGACAATTCTATATAATAAGTAGACCTCAATGATTTGGGTCAAAAATAAAATTGTCGATTTCATATGCATTAATATGTTGATTTATTTGTAGGATGCCAATCAGCGTTCGTTGACAAATTTACTCCCAAAGGTCGTTATCCAGCCTCTGCCGCCAGATTGGAAAAAAAAGTTCCAAATATTATTATAACAAGACTTAAGATAGTTGAACGAGACACAGATAAACGTTCCGAATAATCTTTGAAAAGAATAAACCTTTTTTCATTCACTGAATTATATCCGAGTGATCTCCAGTCAGATTTTGTTTATTAACTAAAGTGGCGTTCTTGCTACATAAATGCTCATTGGTTCCAGTTTTCGTAGACCTGTGGTCGTTGCGTATCTGCGATTGTTTCACTATAGAGGCGACAATTCTTGCTGATTGTGTCTTTCATATATAAACATAAGAATGCTTTCTTAAATAGTTGTAATATTGAACTTACGAGTCAGTATGCGACCCAATGTGTCTAAACCCAAAAGTTGAGTACCCCTAGATGTCAAATAAATCATATGTACGAAAATAATTCATGGCTTATTGGGATAGACTAATTCAATGGTAACATGTGCAATGGGAAGGGGGTGGGAGTGGGGTGAATTTTAAATTCGAATTCCATCTGCAAATGGTTCTTTAATGCGCACTATAATATGTACACGAACGGTCCTTTTTTTCCCATCCGCTCAAATACGCATAGTTTGTTGTGCTCCACATACACCATCCATAACTAACACGTATCAACCATGCGTAGAGACTAGTTCCTTACGGACAGTGACTTACACCATTGTGTACTGCGGATGAACCTCTGATTATTTTACCATCCTATCGACTAGGCACACCCGACAAGTGACAACCGTGCTTGAAAAATCTACAAGTAACAAAGTGGTCCCCACCCCCTAATTTGTAACTGAGCCATCTTAGAGCCTCTGTAGCAATAAATTTGTCACATAGACCTGCTGCGAACGTTATAGGACATCCTACCGCCTTCCTCACGATGTACGGTTTGCCACTACCGTAGCAATATTCCATTCAGGAATATGTGCACACACTCACAGATACTTTTGTACTAAGGGGAGGGGGGGGGTACAAATGCCACATCTTGTTATTTAGTCTAGAATTCCATATAAGAACAGGCCGTAGTGTCACTGTGCGGGCAAACTTTCCCTTATAGCACACTGTATGGCGTATGCCCGTCTTTATTAGCCCAGTCGGAGCAGAACAATGGGACGTTAAACCCCCTTTCATTTCATGTAATATTATCTGACCAATGTTCAAATTCTATATAGTTTGTTTTCAGTAATTTCATATGCGCATTTTTTGTGTTAAACCGTCCATCTGTTGACGTGGTACTTATTATTTACAACTTATGTGTTTCATTAATAAATTGATGTTTTTCTCAAACCGACGATTAATACATCGTTTGGTTCATTCAAAATATGTTTTCTTCCTACATCATTGATTTTACTTATATACGCCTTGCTGCTGATTGGTCACCATGAAACATTACACTTGTCGAACCAACTAATGACCAAAATAATTGATTTAGCTTCCACATAGCTTCTAAATAGTTTTAAGAAAGGACAGTCAGGATTCCTTATTGTTGTTCGAAATGGGGAATTTATCAGTCTTTTGTATCATTTCTGTGGCACTAATCAGTTTAAATATATCCCCAGTATTTTCAGATGAGGAGGAACTGGTTACGGTATGTACAGTATTACCATTTTTTTTCATTTGCATCATAAAACCGTTCAGGTTAATCGATTGCTATGGAGTCATACTCACACTTGTCGGAAACAGTTTTCATTATTCTATACAAAAATACTTTCCGTGAAATAAATATAATCTAACTATTAAAAATCTGTTCATTTCTGAATATTACGGTGGAATTAACAAACTGGTTATTATTCAGACATGCTCAACTTATTTTCAAAAGTAACTCTTTTTAAAAGCAAGGATGTGTCAACGGTTTTTCAAACAATATTATAACAGTGGCATAATTAATTCCACACGTCCACACTGTAGACCGGAAGTGATTTAACATTCAAAAGTAACTCTTTTTAAAAGCAAGGATGTGTCAACGGTTTTTCAAACAATATTATAACAGTGGCATAATTAATTCCACACGTCTACACTGTAGACCGGAAGTGATTTAACATTCAATCTATAATGACTTTCGACTTTTGGTCTGACCAGGCACTTTTGTTGTTCTAGAAGATGACGCTCTCCAAAAAAAGCCCACGGGTTCACCAAGCAATGTACGACCATCTTTAAACTTAGTACGGTTGTTCCTTTGGACAATAAAATTGCGCATCGATTGAAGACTCCGAATTTGGATATGACGTCAGTTCACGGTACGATCGTACATGTACTTGTTTTCGCCTAGCCTTTTTAAACAGAAGAAAAACGAATGCAAAATTCGGTAATCTGAAAGCAGATTGACTAGCTTCTGTTGTATAGATGTATGTTTGTCTGGTGTTCTATAGAACTTTCAACGTCTAATATAAATATTTTATCTCCGAACTAATCTGACATACCGTCTTCGGTTCCTCTGCAGTTGAAAGTTTACGATGAATATCGTTAACAAAGTAGGGAATATTCATTGATACAAAATGTTGATATTGCAGTGTTTGTTTGTTGATCAATGGTTCGGACATGTTAGATGTGAAGATCCATTAGAAGATTTACATTGTGAAATGGGATTATCGGTATGTATTACAAATAAGTCAATACTTAAAGGGATAATACACCGAAGAAAATTTAATATTTCTGATAAACGCGACTATTCGATGTCGTTTGTGAACTTTGTAAAGAGTAATTACAACGCGGTAGTACCCTGGAGAATTCGATAATTCGAAAAAAGCTCCACTCAAACTCCTTCCCTAAGGAAACTAACAAAAAATTATTAAAAGAAAGAATCTGATTATCAACACAACAGGTTTATCCAGGCAAACGATGACTGGTAAAAAAAGACAAGGCCTCGCTTGAGGCTCGAATAAAGGGTTCCAATAAGAGCCCTCAACACAGAATTAACCAGTTTATCATGGATTTCTCCATTAATTTAAGCTCTTAGCTTGTTTGTTGTTTGTTTTGCCGAACAGTTATGCATTACGCTCCAAACGATTCCTCTCTTTCTTAAATATATGTCAGCTTTAGCAACAATTGTGTTCCTAGAGTTTTACATGTAATACTCACTATGCTTTTTTTCTAATAAAATCAAATAATATATAGATAATATGATTCCTATATTCATTACGATTTTTTTCTATTAAAGCTATGTAGATGTAGTCCAAATCAGGTTTGTTCTGCTAAATGTGTACACAATACAGAGACCTCAGGAGAGGTACCATGTAATTACATGTGTAAATCAAAGGCTAAGATATCAGTAGAAAAGAATAATAATGAACGTTTTAACCAAGGTTTACAGCTAGGAGGCTGAAATGAATTTTATTGGAAATAAAAGTCTTATCCAAACATTCATTACTTTGTTATGAATATTGTCACCTGCCATCAATTTTTGTGCTTTTGTAAAAGAATTATGTCCCTGTACCAGACTAAAGCGCGTGTTGATTAGTATCCGAGTCTGGATACCGTTATTAAACTTTCCGACATAGTGATGTCTGTATTATCAAGAAAATAATCATGACAACCATCTAATAACAACATAAAAATGACCTTTATTACAATGATAAGCAATATTGTGACAAATTATATTTATATATGATACGAAAGTTATACGAGATAAAACAAGCTAGTAAATAAATATGGCGCTTATCTCATCGGAAGCACCAAAATAAAATTCGTTACAAAGTATAATGAATAGAATAGTAAAATTTTTCATTTTAAAATTCATTCACCCCCCCCCCCCCACTTCCTTTTCTGAGAAAATGAGCATCCTTTAAGAAACAGGATTGTAAACTTTCTTTATGGTACATAACGACAAGTATTGGCGACCAGCGATTTATGTCTTCCATACAAGTATTGATATTATTCATTGAAGTCGCTATATATAACTAATTAACTCACACAGTTATCTTCGGCCAAAATGCAAAGGTGGTTTTTTAATCATATGCATGGAAGACATTTGAGTTCTTGATTCTAAGTGTTTAGTTCTAACTTATTCATTTGCTACCTACAATCCACATCTGTACACAAAAATCGATATATGTACGTCAAAATCAACATTTGTTGGGTAAATTCTACAATTGTCAAAGGATAATAAATATTTGTGTTTATTTGTGCTTCTAAAAAATCTTATACACATATAAATGACAATTAACATATCTTCAAAGGTCGATGTTTACATACAAATCTTACCCAAAGAGATTCTGCAACAAATATGGTACAAACGGAGAAATGTTGACGCTTGGCCAATTTTGATGGTCAAGATCTGTATCTGAACATGTTTGGAAAAATGAGTTTGACCATTTGTATGCCCAATTAAAAAACACACAGAATTTATGCCCATTTTGAAAAAATACATATTATGCAGCGCTGTAATCTTCTTTGACAGATGTAGAATGTTGATATTGGCGTGCAAAGGGTCGATGTGGTAACAAATAAAGAAGTTACTACTAAGGATTAAGAACCCTTAATAAATACCTTAAATGTATTCTATACAATCAAGCTTATATTGTTATTCATATCAATATTGTTAACAAAATGAACATGCAGAAAAATCTGAACGCAAAATAACACTTTTATTCATTTTGAATCTAAATTTTATATCCTTAGTCTAATGAGGACAGGTATACACCTTTTGATTTAAGACAAAATGGAATGGCATAGTGTGCAAGCTCTTTACGAACGGATGTAGGATTGACAGTACAATCTCAGCATCGACATCGTCTGCGGACTATCAAATTTTCAGTAGAATAAGATCTGCGTTGCATTTCGCAAAAAAATTAACTATCGGCTTTAATCAAATTAACACTTCCGATTCTACAAAAATCAAAGAGGTCCTGTCTATTTAATACGAAACTATCTAAACCTAATTTTAAAATAATTGGTTACATAACAATAAATAAATAATAAACATATGCAATTGAACCAACAAAACATAAACATAAATATTTATTAAGTTGTATTTATTAAGTTTTGCCATTTTTACAAAACTTGGAGTACATGTAATGTTTTTGGTAACCATGGCCATTTTTACAAAATTTGTAATGTTTTTGATAACCATGGCCATGACCCAAACGTCAACCTTGGTGGAAAACGGATATCATGATACTTTTTCCCGATAAAGGTTGAGTCGATTATGTGTCATTAATTACTGTTCCCAATATTTTGCAACATTGACATGTTCAATAAGTGTCGACAGCTGTTGCACCAAAATGTTTTCCACGGATGATGACTTCTGTGATTCGTTTTAATTCTTCTGAGAAAAGAAAGGAAAAAACCTCTAAATTCCAGAAATCCCTAATACAGACCGTCAATTAGAAGAGACAAGCACGATAGGTTCGCGTTCAGCCCACTGGAGTGAGATTCCTTGTGTCTCAAACGCGGCCATTACGAGCAGTAGTGTACGTAAAAGCATTTTGTTGGTCAACAATCGTGAACTAGCTTCAAGCTTTTTACCACGAGGTCCTTCGTTCAGTGAAATGGCATCTTGGATACCTTTTTGTTCAAATTTGAACAATATGGCGGAAGGGGGAATCTACAGTTTGAAAGCTGACATGGATGAAATACCAGTGTGCTTGCTAAGGTCTCTTCTGCCCTTAATGTCTAAATGTTCAAGGCTTTGACTTTCCATAAAGAGCATCCGCAAACTTAGAACAACCCATAACAGAATTAAATGGAATTTATAACAAGCGGTTGCCATGCAAGATACGCCCACATTTTGCAAGAGATGGACAGAAACAAGCTAAAAAAAAACGATTTTTCGTACAATCAGGGGATATAAAACAAGACGATATGTCCGATATGCGAGAATATCAAAAGGAATCGACATCTCTGGGATATAAACATATATTTAAGTTCCATTAAAATCAGATAGGAATTCTAACCTCTAGAGTGTCAACAACCTTGGTATTGCATACTTTTACACTATCGGCGTACAAAGAGCGGCCATTTTGTCGGACAGTTTCGGTCTGATTTTCACGAAATTCGAATTAAACCGTCATAAGGTTGTAACACTGATATATTTAAACCTTTTTTTTAAACTCGGATAAAAATTATCCGAGGGTGCACAACCTTGGTATTACATACTTTAACACTAGTTGCGTACATAGACCGGCTATTTTGCCCGACAATTTCGGTCCGATTTTCACGAAATTCGAACTCAATCACCATAATGGTGTAACTGATATATTTGAACGTTTTTTTAATCGGATAAAATTGTGTCCTCTCGGTGGACCACAAGCTAAAATGGCGATTTTTCGTACAATCAGGGTCCATAATGCGCGAATATCGAAAGGTATCGAGATCTTTGGATTATAAACATACATTTTAAGTTTCAACTAAATCGGATAAAAATAGTGATCTGTTGAGTGTCGCACAATCAGGGGCCATAATCCATGAAGTTTCATTACGATACATACCAATATCGGAACGAACCTAGACCTTTTAGAGATAAACCTATATTTTAAGTTTCGTCAAGATCGGATAAGAATTGTGACCTGCAGAATGTTCACAAACAAATTGTGGACGGACGGACGGACAGGGGCGACGATAATTTACGTCCACAGGAAAATGTGGGCGTATAAAAAACAATAATTTTTAGCTATATATATATTTAATTGTTTAACCGAGGTAGAAACATGTTGAATGCAAGATTGTGCCATCATGTTATTAAGTATATCAGCTAGCTGATAAATAGGTAGATGTATATTTATAATATTTTACATATTGAACAATGACTATAATTCTTTTAATGAATGAATTCACTATAGCATGCCTCAATAAAAACTCTGTTTTCAAACTTTTATAAATATTTTCTTAAGAGCTTATCAGTCAAGATTATTATGGCGATACTCATGATTAAGTTGTAAAAGTTACATCTGCATTGCATATGGCACTCTATAAAATACTAGTATTCAAATATAAACTAAAAGAAAATATTATGACTATTAAAATAAAAAATATTTACAAGTACATTTTAAAAAAAACATTATAAAAGCACTAGTAGCGAATATCAAAAACATTATTAAAAACGTAACTATTTACAGTAATGCTTAATTAGCACTTTTAGATATACATCTACATGGAGATCTATAAACATACTGTACGTCTATAGCTCCAAAATAATAAACAACTAAAATGGAAAAAATCCATTAAATGCATAAATCCTGTTATATACAAAATGTCATAGACTAAATAATTGAAATACAAAATAAAATGCAATAAGTATTTTAATCCTATTAAGTATTTAATCAGCGAGAAAAGTGAAAAACGACTTTTTGATTTCCCGCCCTACGTTCAAATTCAAGGACAAAGGGTCATTTTAAGTATTGTTAAACTGCATTCGTAACCATGGCAAATGAATTGACTATTAAAGGGAGAGAAATGAGGTTTAACGTCCACTTGACACAAACTAGGTCATTTCGGGACTAACGTATGGTTATTTAGCAGTGGGAGGAAACCGGAGGACCCGGAAAAAAACCCACGAGGTTGGAAAGGCGACCCTACTCCTTGTCACCTACAAGTGGAGAATCGAAACCACGCCACTTAACCCAATAACAGATCTTCTGATCCAACGCGCACGCGTTAGCCATTCGGCCACCCAACTCTCCCACTGACTTTTAATTCAATTGTGTCATAATGTTACACAGCATCGTTAGAGACGTAACTTTTAAGGGACAAAAGATCATATCTTTATCGAATTAAAAACTTTACATTCTAGTCTCATAATTTTAGCAACAAATATTAATAACTTACACGATCATAGGATATCGTTTCTAGCGATCTATTAGAAAAATTTTAAATGTTTAAGAAATTTGCAATCAAAACATATCTGACACCTTTAGTCTTGAATAGGGGAAACATTAGTGAATAAGAGTTACTCTTCGTGTTAAAAAGATTTTCCTTTTTAACTGCATCACACGATCTTTGACAACGTCAAATCGGATTTGAACAAAGTGGATATAACAAGCCAACAGTGAGGCTGATGTCCCCCGCCGAAATCCGCAAATAAATAGATGACACATATTAATTAATCGCACATCTATTTTTTTCAAAAGTATCGAGCAATCAAACTGTTTATCAACTATACACTAAATTTCATCACTCTCTATCAGACAGAATCAAAGTTATATTGTCCCAAAGCATCGACCAAGGAAATTGCTTATCTCTGCTTAGCTTGAGATCGATATGTTAATCATTGAACTCAGTCAAGACGAACATCTACATCAAGTTTAAACATTCTACCTCAATTAGAAGCAGTGTGAACATTTTAGCTCAATTAGAAGGAGAGTTATTGTGTTCCGAAGTCTCGGCCAATCAAATTGCTTATCGCTC